TCTGGATCCAAAGTCCCCAGCCGCTTCATCCCTCCTTGTCATCATCTCTGTCTCCATCTCAGGCATCCCCGGTTCTCTGGGTGGGGTCCCATTCTCGGCTCTTATCCATTGGTGGTCCCAGAGACCTCCGCTCCTAGACTGGAGAAATAATCGCTCTCTTCCTCCACCCTAGCTTCTAAGAGGCATTCTGACAGTAGTTTTTCCAACCCAGATTTGTTTGTTCTTCTGGCAGGCCTTCACAATTTTAGTGTTTTTCTCCATCATAACCGAAATGCATCAATTCTTCTACAGTCTTCCTTATTCACTGTCCAACTTTCACATGCATATAAAGCTATTGAAAACATCATGGCTTGGGTCATGTAGTCCTCAAACTGACATCTTTGTTCTTGAAAAGTTTAAAGAGGGCTTGTGCAGCAGATTTGCCTAATGCAGCACATCGTTTCATTTCTTGACTGCTGCTTCTATGAGTGTTGATTGTGGATCCAAGCAAAATTAAGTCTTTGACCACCTCAATCATTTCTTCATTTATCAGGATGTTTTTATTGATCCAGAGGTGAGGACTTTTGTTTTCTTTACATAATGAAGGCTATGGTCCTTGATCTTCATCAGTTAGGATTTTAAGTCCTCTTCTCTTTCAGCAAGCAAAATTGTATTATCTGCATGTCTCATGTTCTTAATGAGTCATCCTCCAATCCTTATGCTGTGTTTTTCTTCATAGAATTCAGTTTCTTAGATTATTTGCTCAGTATGCAGATTGAAGAAGGTATGATGAAAGACTACAACCCTGGTTGATACCTTTCCTAATTTTCAACCATTCAGTATCCCCTTGTTGTTTTAGAATTACTGCCTGTTGGTCTGTGTACAGTTCCTCATGAGCACAATTAAGTGTTCTGATTGATAGCCATTCTTTGCAATGTCATCCTTAGCTGAATTACCTCTAGCAATATTTTACTTACTTATGAGATTAATGATATTGTTTTATAATTTTCTCATTTCATTGGGTCACCTCTCTTTGAAATGGGTACAAATATGAATCTCTTCCAATCAGTTCTCTAGGTAGCTGTCTTCCAAATTTCTTGGCATATATGACGAGTGCCTCCAATGTTTTATCATCAGTTTGTTGAAAGACTTCAGTTTATACTCCATCATTTCCTGGAGCCTTGTTTTTCACCAGTGCCTTCAGTGCTGCTTGGACTTCTTTCTTCAGTAACATTGGCTCTTGATCATATGTTGTTGTTGTCAGGGGCCATTGAGTC